AGGTGTTTGTTCTCACTGCCACCAAGTCACCTCGGTTGCCTTGCTCTCCTGTCTAGGTGTGGGCTGCACCCCCATCTGCCCCCCTTTAGCAGAGCTCAGACAGGCTGGAATTCTCTAAAAATAACCTCACAGAAAATCAACGAAACGAACAAAGGGAACACAAGCAGCTGAACAACAGATGTGCTTGCCCAGTGCTGGTACCTAATCCTAAAACAACCGAAGTCCCGCCACCCCTGGGCTGGCCAGTCCTCGGTTCCTTCCTGCCTACTCCCTGCCCCTGCCAGAAAAGACCCTCTCAGGTAAAGCTTTCTGACACGCCCTCCCCCATCCCTGCTGCCTGACTGGGAGCCTACCAGCCAGGGAGCAGTGGGTAAGAGAAAAGGCAGGTGTTCACAGTGCAGCAAGCAGCTGGTCTTGTGTCCAAGCTGAGCTCAAAGGGAAGGCGGGGCCCTAGGCCCCCTAAACCGGAGCAGAATCCTGCTGGGTGAAGCAGTCCCCCATTTGGTGTGACCTCCGGAGAGGGGAGGCATCTCCAGAGGGGTGCCTGGCTGGGAGAGGGGAGCAGGTGTGATCAGAATTAGAGCCAAGGCCGAGCTCTAGACGTGGGGAGCGGGCACCTGGCTCTGGCTCTATCCCTGTCAAAGGAGGTAACCTCCAATGTCTCTGTCACTTCTAGCACTTTTCCATCTTCCAACTCTCCACCTTGAGCCACCAGTTCCTGGAGAAAACTCCAGTCTGTCAAGATGAGTCTCGGGGGTGGTACCTTGGGAAAGGCCATTCCCAGCATGGTGAGGGCAGCTAACCTTCCTGAACGTCAACCAGGTACCAGAGACCATCTGAGCCGTTTTGCACGTGCGGACTCATTTCCTCCTCACACAAGCCCTGAGCGGGAGGGCCCCGGATCCCCATTTCACAGATGAGAAAATTGAGGCACAAAGAGGGTAAGACCATCCCAGGGTGGTAAGCAAAAGGATGGGCTTCAGGCAGTATGCTCCAGGGTCTGTGCTCGATCCGCACATTCAAGTTCTCCTTCACATACAGTGGCTGTGATATCTATGACAGGCACAGTAGTCAAAAGGTGAAAACCCACATGTCCATCAACGGATAAAGGGATAAACAAAATGTGCATCTGTACAATGAAACGATATTCAGTCCTAAAGACGAGTGGAGTGCTACAACATGGATGAACCTCGAGGACATCACACTAAGTGAAATCAGCCAGTCACAAAAAGACAAGTAGTATATGATTGCACCTACCTGAAATATCTAGAATAGACAAATTCATAGACATGGGGAATAGATTAAAGGTTGCTAGGGGCTGAAGTAAGGGGAGAATGGGGAGTTATTGCTTAATGGGTACAGAGTTTCTGTTTGGGATGATGAAAAACTTCCAGAAATGGATAGTAGGTATGGTTGCACAGCATTACAAATGTGCTTAATGCCACTAAATTGTGCACTTAAAAATGGTTCAGATGGTAAATTTTGTGCTATGTTAAAAATAACTTATTAAAAAAAGATTTATTTATTTATTTGGGGGGGTACAGAGAAGAGAGAGAATCTCAAGCAGACTCCCTGCTGAGCACAGAGCCTGACACAGGGTTCAATCTCATGAGCCTGAAATCATGACCTGAGCTGAAACCAAGAGTTAGATGCTCAAGTGACTGAGCCACCCAGGTGCCCCATTAAAAATAACTTTTAAAAATATCTGTACTGAGGGGGCACCTGGGTGGCTCAGTCGGTTAAGCACCTGCCTTCAGTTCAGATCATGATCCCAGGGTCCTGGGATCGAGCAGGCTCCCTGTTCAGCGAGGAGCCTGCTTCTCCCTCTCCCTCTATCCTTCCCCCACCCACCCCCCATGCTCACTCTCTCTTGCGCTCTCTGTCTCTCTCTCACAAGTAAATAATGAGCACTTACATGCCCTTACTGCACTAGGTACTTTATACATCACCTCGTTTTACCTTTACAACACCCCTGAGTGAGGCTATGGTGCCATTCTACCTAATTTATAGGCCAGGAAACCAAGATTCAGAGGATAAACTACCCAAGGACCCACAAGTGGTAAGTGGCAGAGCTGATACGTAAACCCAGGCAACACCGAAAGCAAACTTGGAGAAGAGGGTAGGGAAATGTGAGAAGGCTAGAACAAGCTGGGACGACCCGGGGTGTGCAGCCACTCACATCCCTTACCTGTGCTCGCCAGCTTCCACAAATGCCACGTTGGCATTTTGTCCCATCTCTCCCTGCATTTACGTTCTCACAGCCAACCAACACCTTCTGGCCTCCCCCTTCCACTAACATCACTAGCTCTGCCTCTGCTCGTCCACGACACCTCCCCACCCACCCCCTGCACAGGAGGACAGCTGGTCAAGGATCTGGGGGAGGGGGAGGGCTCAGAGTCCCTCAGCCTAATTCTGTTCTGAAGGAGAGAGGGGCCGAGATCTCTCCTAAAGGTGACTGCCAAGCAAACAGCAACTGGGGGTCCTGCCAGGTACCTGCGTGTCCCCAGAAGAACCTCAGGAAGGCTGGGCAGGCAACTCCGTGGGGTGCCAGGTCTCATGGATTACTCATTTATCCCAGTCTCAGGTGACATCCTATCTGAGCGCGCTCAGGGCAGTGCGTTTCTTTTGCCTTTGAAATCACAAAGTGTCCGTTGCCCTTGAAACACAAGGCACTCCACATTCAGGTCATGCAGGAAAGCCAAGCACACCCACACCCAGGCCACAGCACTCATGGCCAGTTGTAGCCTCCTGAGACGTCAGCCTAGTCCCGAAGGTCACATGCAAGTACAAAGCATCCTTGGAAACTCCTCACATGGAAGGGCTCGGGCAAAGTCCCCAGCTGCTACAGGTTGTGACTTGGGGGGGGTAGGGTGGGTGGGGCGTGGATGGGTTTTCTGTGTGTGTGCCACATGACTTGCTGTCTCTACCCCATATCCCCCAAGAGATTTTCCCTGGCATTCTCTTCCCCAGGCCCTGCAGCCAGCCACTGACTCTAAGTCCCCAGATGTCCACTGAGGAGCTGTGACTCCTTTCAGGGGACCCTGAACAGCTAACAGGCCGCAAGGAGCGAAATCCACGGGGATTCCAGACCTCGGGAAAGATTTTAAAGCAGCTGAGTCTTTCCAAACACATCTTTAATCGTGTCCAGGAAGGATGGCCTCTGCCAGCTGGCAGATTTAAAGGATAGGTTCCCATGCTCTTGGGAAAGTCACTCTGGCTCAGAGTCGCCAGACGACTTTGGTGTCAACCCTCTAGGCCCTGACTCTTGGCTCTGCCATGACCCAGCCATGTGACCTTCAGCCAGTGTGGCTGAATCTTTCTCCTTTATAAACCAGAGACAGCGATGGTACCTACCTTCAGTTACTGAAGAGAGTTAAATGGGATGCAGCACATCAGGTACTTAGGACCGTGCTTAGTACCAAGGTTCTATTCAAAAAATATTAGTTGTCGTTAGTGCACAGACATACATTGGTAGCCAAGCAGGGTACCTTGCCCTGGAAACCTGACTCCTTCTCAGACCCAGTGCAGCACAGTGGGTAGCCACTACCTGCCATGGGCTATTGGCCAAGGATAGCATCTAAGACAAATCTTTTTGCTGCCAGTGTCCTACTTTTTTCTTAATTGGCAGGTAGTGCACGTCCCCTGTCTCTGAGCTGGGACCCCTCCACCTCTCCACCCTTGTCTCCTATTGTACCAATGCTAGGCCACCCTCCCCACAACACACACATGCACTTTGGATCCAAAACCGGTCCCTGATTTCCCTACACACCATTTTAAACAGCTTTATCCAGATATAATCCACGTGCTATACTGTTCACTATACATTTTGAAGTGTATAATTCAATGGCTTTTAGTATATTCAGAGCTATGCATACGTTGCCATAATCAATTTTAGCCTATTTCATTACCCCTCCAAAAGATCCATATGCCTCTTATCCATCACCTCCCAAACTCTCCTTCCCTCTGCCCCCCCAGCCCTAGGCAACCACTTATCTACTTTCTGGCTCTATCAATTTGCCTATTCTGGACATTTCATATAAATGGAATCATATAATATGTGGTCCTTCTCACTTAGCATGATTTTTTCAAGTTCAATCCACTTTGTAGCATGTGTTAGTATTTCATTTCTTTTTATTGCTGAATAATACTCCATTTTACAAATACAGCACATTTTATTTATTGATTTATCAGTTGACGGACATTGGGGCTTCTTTCTACTTTTTGACTATTATGAACAATGCTGCTATGAACATTTATGTAGAAGTTTCTGTGTGGACACGTACTTTCACTTCTCATGTAGACACGTAGGAGTGGAATTGTTGGGTCATATGGTATATGTTTAACCACTTGAGGAACTGCCAGAATGTTTTCCAAAGCAGCCATACTATTTTAAATTTCCACCAGCAGTGTATGAGGATTTGATTTCTTCATATCCTTGCGAACACTTGTAATTATCTGTGTTTTTTTATTATAGATATCCTAGATAGCTTTATCCGGTGTGAAATGGTATCTCATTGTGGTTTTTATTTGCATTTCCTGATGGCTAATGAGG